TACATATATATTATAATAATATTGTACCACAAAGTATGCAAAGGCTTATTTGCTGTTGTTGCTGTAGTTGTGATCAGTGTTGCTGCTGCTGTTGCCGCTGCTGATATTTTTTTTTCTGTGGAGATAGTAGTAGTTATGTAGCAGCAGTAGTAGAAGTAGTAGAAGAAGCAGTGGTAGCAGCAGTAGTAGAAGTAGTAGTAGAAGCAGTAGTAGCAGCAGTAGTTGTAGTGGTGTTAGTCTCAGCAAAAGTAGCCATTTTACCTCTAGAGTTGATGCAATTGTAGTAGTTTGACGAGAGGGGTGGGGGTGGTGGAAGCGGTTGCCTCTGATCCTGGATCTATTGGTACTGCCCTTGGTACATTTTTTTAGTAGAGGGTTGTACGGCGCTCGCAACTGCATAAGGTCATGTGATCGCCAAGGGGTGGGTGTCAACAGAGAAGTCCTTACAGGGAATCAGACTTATTCTGCTCACCTCTCTAGCTTCAACAGCACAAGGTCTGCTTCGACTATCAAGGCACCCCGGAAATAGCGGGTCACAAGAGTGTGTGACAAACATACAAAAGAAGTAGAGGAAAATGACAGTAGTAAGGATTAGGAAATAAAAATCAGCAGTTCCCTGTTGCAGATCAGGCACAGTTTTGAGCGTGGCATGATGAATCAACCCATTTACAATTCTACTGTGCTTGAACGAGAAAAGTCCCCCTTTTGGGAATGGCCAAAGACACTACAGTCAGTGGCACCGCCCCGGGGGTCCTTTGGTACATCGCTACCTCAGAATTACAAAGTTCTATCTGCTCAGTACATAGTTTTGAGAAATTTGACGTCAAAGATATTGACTTTCACAACATGTCAAGCTTTTGCGGAGGCAAAATTCTTGGAATATCTTGATAACGACTCCGAATAATCTTACGATTTTAATAGAGCAGATAGAACATTAGTTTGGATTCTCGACCTGTTGATCTTAATGTCACAAAACCGCAAAAAATGTCTGATAGAAATTTGTAATTCTGAGGTGGGGACATGCACTACTTTTTAATTCGCTGTCTTTTTAAAAAATAGATATCTTAAATAAATAGATCTTTCTACACCCCCATCGACACAATTTAGATAATTTAGGAGACGGACTTCCCACTCTGCCTGTTAAGGCCAACCGGAGCAGAGATGGATACAACATCCAAGCAGAAATACCGAGATACTCCATAAAAGTGTCAGTCATCCGACTCGGGAATCGAACTCAGGCCTCCTGTGTGAGGCAGCAAAACGGCTAAACGCTAAACCGTAGACGCCAGTAAATTCGATGTCGTTGGTCCACATAAAATACGTTGCTAAGAAAACGGTGGAGAAGAAATTGTGTTAGTTTAGTTTAGTTTTAGTAAGAGTTTTACGGCACTTGCAACACAATATATAATGTCAGATTATAAGTGCCGAAGAGTAGAGGTGTTACAAAAGACTAACAAACACAAAAAAAGAAAGAGGAGAGATCAGGACAATAGGTGTTTGTAGGAAAAGAAGTAGCAAACCACACCAGAGCACCCGCCAACCACCCACTAAGAAAAGCTAGTAGCCAGGAACGATGATGAACGTTAGTAAGATTCCACGTGGATTTGAACCCTGGACGTGCACGAGTTGGTGCCACACTCCGGTGTGTGTGGTTGGAAGGCGCCGTTGCTCGGTCTTCCTTCTTTACGTACGCGCGCCCGCGCGCACACACTCACACACACGCACACATATCAACATGACATAAAAGATAGTGCATGACAATGCAGTAAAGCAATATTCTCTCTCTCTCTCTCTCTCTCTCTCTCTCTCTCTCTCTCTCTCTCTCTCT